GTGATGTCAGTCTGGCAGTCATGGAAGCCCAAGGGGACCATGCTTGAAGGCTGTGTCTCCATTCGGCTGGGCTGTGGTTCTCAGTGGGTTGGCAATTATGGAATGATGTCGTCATCCTCCATTTGCACATACTGCTGATTTACAGTTAACCTGGTGTTTGGAACCTAATCATGTTGATGAGGAGCAGGTATCACGTAGGAAATCAGCCCCTGTATTGCATTCAAATTTTCAATTGGCTTCACCTAAGATCTAATTTGTAAAGTGAGGGTTTGCATAAAACGTAACTTCAAATCCAATCAACAAAGCCATGGAATATGCTGGATCCATACAGGGAATAAGCAAAGGCACTGGGTCTGTCCCCACCTTCCTTCCTCCACAACTTCCTTCCCAGGAGCTCTGCCTATAGGAACCAGAACCTTCTACCTTGAAGTTTGAGGATTCTTAGAAGCATTTTGTATGAAAATAAGGTCACATAAGATGCCTTAGCTACTAAAAGGGTTTAGGCAAAGCATTGGTCTAGTCCAGGCCTAATGCCACTTGGCCTTGCAGGGTCTATCCACACAGCAGGAATGTCCACTGAGGTGTGAGCTCAGAAAGGGCTATGACCAGGGAGGAGCCCACCAGAATCTCTCTCAAGAACCTTCCTTCTAAACTCAGCACCCTAATTACTGCGATGTTCTCACTAGAATGTTCACGCCAAGTAAGAGTAGCAAATGCTCATTCTGCTTCGGGAATGACTCCAATTGGGGGCCTTGGGAGCGGGTTGTACGTGGCTCCCACCTGCAGTTAAGTACACTTGGCTGAGGCCCGGGGTTGTGCAACGTGAACTGTAAACAGCAGGCCCTGACCCTGGGAAGAGGCGAACTTAGTTTCCAAGACATCCAGTGCCTACTTTACTCAGCCCAAACTTAACCTCCCGGGTGTCAAGTCCATTCTAATTCACAGTGACCCTACAGGCCAGCGTAGAACTGCCCCTATGGGTTTCCAAGACGGTAATCCTTATGGAAGTAGAAAGCCTCACCTTTTCCCCAGGGCGTGGTGGGTGGTTTTGAACTGCTGCAGCTAACTGTGCAACAATGTGCAACCCACTATGCCAGCAGGGCTCCTGTCTAACCTGCAAAGACGTTCAAAGAAAGAGTCTGAAGATGTCCGTCCACTTCCTGGGCCAGGTTCAGTGAAGTGGAGGTAAAAGACCCTACAGAGAGGTGGCAAAGCATTAAGCTGGGCGAAGGACGGAGCCCTGGGCAGGGGCAGGGGTGGCATCATTGGAAGGGCTGGAAGCACAAAGGCGGTGACCAAGACATGGAAGGTTCCAGCGTGAAGGGAAAGGAGGGGAGAAGTAGCACAGTCCACCCACCCCCACCCCCATGATGTGGTCACACCCCCAGTGGGCCCCAGGCCCTGGAGATGGAAACATCACTGGGGGGGGGGGAGAGAGAAGCGTGCGCATCTGCCCTCTCTGCCCGTGCAAGAAGCGGTGGTTTCCTACCTCTTGATTGGTGGCACGTGTAGGGATCCCCAGAAAGGAACTTGAATAAGCATTTTTCCCTCAATTTAAAAAGGGAGCCCTGGTGGCATAGTGGTTACGCATTGGGTTTCTAACTGTAAGTTTGGCGGTTTGAAACCACCAGACACCGTCCCATAAAGCAGCAGTTCTCAACCTATGGGTCACGACACCTTTGGGGGTCGTACTACTCTTTCACACGGGTTGCCCGATTCATAACAGTAGCAAAATGACAGTGATGAAGTAGCAATGAAAATAAGTTGATGGTTGGGGGTCACCACCACATGAGGAACTGGATGAAAGGGTGGCGGCCTGAGGAAGGGTGAGAAGTCTTTATGGCATTGAGAGTTACAAGTCTTGAAACCACAGGGACAATTCAACTCTGTCCTACAGGGTCGCTATGCGTCTTCATTGACTTGATGGCAGTAAGTTTGATTTATGTGTGCTAAAAATGCATTTACTTTATCAGGAGCTGTTACACTCATTCACTCTGATCAATCACACATTTAAACTGTGTGAGTGAGAGAGAGAGATCGCACAGATACAGGTCTTCCTACTTCTATCTTCGACCTTGGACTATTCCCTTGACCCCGCCATCAGTCACACAACCACCGAGATGCTGCTCCAATCACGCCCCTCTAGTGACGTCCATCTTCCTCAGCGCAATGCCCAGATCCTTCCGCAGTGCCCCATCCCAGGCCCCTGTGATGCAGCCTTCCCTAGTTGGCGCCCCCTCCTGGCCACAATGGCTTTGGCACCATCTGGGCACCATCCCAGCTCTGCTTCTGCCTCAGGACCTTTTTCCAGGCCGGCTTTTTGGCTGAAACATCATCAGTTATTTCCTCACCTCCTTCAGGTCTCCATTGGTGTGGAGGCCCATCCTGTTTAACAGGCAAACCCCTGTATCCCACCTCGTCCCTGCCCTGCCCTGCTGCTCCTTCCTGTTGCTCTCTCTAGCACCCCACATCACCTGTCACTACACACTGCACACAGGTCCTCAGTCTGAACTGTCCCATCAGAATGCCAGCTCTACAAAGGATGGGGGTTTCTGTCTGGCTTGGCCACTGCTGAATCCCCGGCACCGAGGACCCCCCACCCCCAGCACGTCCTCTGCGTCCCTGCCACTTGCCAGATGAACACATGCATGAATGAGTGCCCCCGGGGAAGATTAGACAGACAGACCACGGTTCCGGATAAGGAGGCAAACATATGCGAAACGGTCTCTGGTTTCCCTCTCTCTGAAATAAGCGGTGATCCTCCGCTCAGAGGCAAGCCCAAGAACAAACTAACGGTGTGAAGGTGTAAACTAACTGCCTGAACGCTCTACCTTCTTTGGCAAACAAATGTATTTCATCGTCCAGGAATTTATGGTCTGGGAAACATAAAGCAGTACTAAAATTAAATAGAATGAGACGGGTCCTCCTGAATATCAACTTCTGTTTTTCAATAAAGGGACACAGGAGAAACCGCATGGTTCGGACCAGTGGTTAACCACCGGTGGAAAGAGAAAGCTCCAGGTGAGTTAAGTCCACATTGAGAATCATGCCACCCCATGTCTTAGGACCAATCCAAGCCTACAAATCGAGGCAGACAGAAACTCCCCACGTAAGGTCTTCAGGAATTCTCGCTCTGGCACAAACCCCTCTGGCTTCAATCGTCAGAGCTAGTTGGGGTGTTGGAAGCCAAGCTCTGGGGGCTCGGAGAACCCCAGGGCCGGGTCTGTGCTGGGCCGTCCGCTGGGGCTCCCTGTTGCGCTGCAGAGATCGGGAACCAGTGGCCACAGAGGTCAGAAGTGGCTTGAGAGGAACGATCCAATCCACCATCCTCCTCCCCCGGGGAGTACACCCAAATCAAGACAGCCGTCTGAGCTTCAGATAAGTCAGACACAGGAAGATGGATGTCAACATTCCTGACTGTGCCCTAACCCGGAAACAGTCACCATGGAGTCAATGCCGGCTCACAGCAACCCCGGCGGACAGAGTAGAACTGCCCAGACGGTTTCCATGGCAGCGATCCGTGCGGTAGGCAGCCCCGTGCGCAACCCACGGTGCCACCGAGGCTGCTCCTCTGCTCCTACAGGGATCCTAAAACGCTGTGCCAGCCGCTTTGCTACCCTGGCCTGGCTGTTCACTCAACTCCCCTCTAACCTCCGTGCTTCGGACTCCCCGACCTTCTCAGGGACGATTCCTTATTGGCAGAGAAGAGGGAATGAAAAGAGCCTCCCCCCCACCCAGGGACCCCCCCCCAGCACGTCCCCTGCGTCCCTGCTCACTGGGTTTTGGTGAGGGTGTACATTGTTCGGTGCTATGCATGCGTCCGTGAGCAGGCTGCTTTCCTCAGTCACTCCGTCTGCAAAGTCAGAGACAGCCACGGGCAGGGAGGCCTCCGGGTCCGCCCTGGTCTTTCTGCTTTTCAACTCCTCACGGACAACTCACAGGGCCCAGCCCCACACCACGGCTCCAATCTGTGCTGCCGCCTGCCTTTGAGGGTGGCCTGCCCCGGACACCCGTGTTCCAGTCCCCCTAGCATAGCCCAGGCTCCTTGGCGGCTTCATGTTTCACCGTAGCACCTGTCACCTTCCAACCCACCACACAGTCAGTCCTTTAGTTATCTGCCCCGCCCGCAGATGAGAAACTTTCAGGGGCAGAACACTGTAGTCTGTTTTGTTCACGAAGTAGCCACAGCTCCTAGGAGAACAGGTGCTCGATAGAAATGTGCTGATGGAATGAACGGTGTTCTTGCCTCATGGGGTTTGAGAGGGTGCAAGGAGCTGCATAAAACCCTCTGAAACGGAAGCCAAATTTTGTGATAGATATTCGTGTGCGTGCGTGCTTGGTGTGTGTATCGGGGGTGCTGGTGGTGAGGCAGTCCCCATCCCAACAAAAAATGGAAAAGAAAAAAAAAAAAGCCGCTAATACAGATGCTTGAATTTAACAAGGATGATTATAAATTTCTTCAAACAATGAATAAACTTCATTCACAGCTATTTGCCATAAGCCGCCAGTGGCATGATTAGCCTGTGCTCCTGTGCTTCACAATCTCTAGCACAGTGTCGACAGAGTTGCCTAGGGAATTTTTATGAGCAAATTCTGAACAGGAAGCACTATTATCTTCATTGTCTGGGAGCTAGAAGACCGGTGAGAATGAATAACCATGTGGGAGCCAACCCCAATCCTCATGCAAGGCTAGAAACGAGAGTGACACACAAGGAGGCCCACACACATGCGCGGTCAGGGAAGATCCAGGCTGGGCAGCTGCTTAGGCCAATAACGCTGCCCCATCACCTTACACCTACTGGAAATTACTGGAAACTGTAGGCAGGCAAAGTTAACAAAACCTGCTCTCTCCATTGTCTGACCCCCACGCCCCCCACACACACCATTCTATTCCAAAACAAAATAAAAACAGAACTCCGCATACATGCCCATCACTCGTCCACCAGGGATAAAACTGTCCCTGGTATAAGAGCCAAACTCGAACAACCAACTTGGCTTACCTTCCCCAATCATAGAGACCCCAACGGACATGCCCATGAACTTGCTCTTGGTCCATACGTGGGTGCTGATGCACAGCCTCCTCTCCTTGCACTCGCAGTAGAAGCAGGAGACGGGTGGGTGGTGAGACACTTGCTCAGCCACAAACCTTAGTTTGTAGCTTTTGGAAGGGTCATCGGCCATCGGGTTGTTGAGACAGCCACCAGGAGAGTGGGGAGCAGTCCTCCTTGGCTTGACCTTGTCCCTGGGAACTTCCCAGGAGCAGTGAAACGTCTCGCCAATGATGGGGTTGTAGGGCTTCTTGGCCAGGGCGCCCCTGCGGCCCTCGTGGAAGGCTGTGAGGTAATACTCCACGAAGCAGACGACTCTCTCCTCGGGCGTGGCCCCGGCAGTGATGGCCAGCAGCAGGTCCGGGTGCGCCATGAAATCCGCGTACATCTCCAGCAAGGAGCGCTTCTCCAGAATAAATGTGGGAAGCACTACCTGCAGACAGAAGGAGACAAAGTGAGGCGGGAATCCCTGTGAGAGAGAGAGAGAGAGAACGAGAGCAGAAAGGCCGCAGCTCCTGTGAAGTAAATCCACCATGGCTGACGCTAAGGGCCCGTTTCTTTTGATTCCTGCACAAATGACAACTCAGAGGAAACATGAAGGAAATTGGAAGTAGCTGCTGCAGTAGTAACGTCAAAACCAGCACAGTATCGTGAACACTGTTCTGTGTCACTTTCTTCTCTGCTTGTCTGAGCTGAAACAACAGCTGTCGTCGTCTCTTCCTTTGCTCTGATGCTCTCTCTCTCTCTCTCTCTCTCTTTGTTATGTACGTTCCTATAGGGAACATTGATTTTCTCACACGTTAGGAGCTAGAAGTCGGCCTTCAGTGCTTCGATCTGATGGGTAAGGAATGTGGAGGGGTTTTAAGGTTGTGATCCTGTCTCTCTCTCCCCCTCTCTCTATCTCCATGACTTACAGATGTAAAGAAAACCATGTAGCTGGGCTTTTCCTTATTCTTCCTGACATCAGGCCTGGCCAAGGAGGTGCTCACGAGGCCCTGATAGTGCTGTCAGGTAAGTGCCGAGCCACTAACTGCAAAATCAGTGGTTCAAATCCATCAGCCACTTTGAGAGTGAAAGATGAGGCTGCCTGTTTCCATAAACATTTACAATGTTGAAAACTATCTAGGGTCAGTATGAGTCAGAATCAATTGGATGACTGTGGCTAACAGGATGCTCAGAGGATACTCATGAGCATAAATGCTGTGTGTGTGTGTGTGCGCGCGCACACACACGCGCGCGCGCTCCACATACACGTGCCACTTCAGAGGTTTATGAGCTAAGAGGCTGGTGTAAGACCCGCTGACTCCTTGCTGTCATGCCACGCCAGGCCATGCCACGCCACTAGGCCAGAGCCACGCCTGGCTCAAAGTTCATGCCCCCTCTACACACAGTTAATTTTTCCCTTTCATATTCCCTGACACCCATGGCAACATTCATGGGGGAGTATACGAGTTGACCATGAATGTCACACAGCCTGATAAGAACTGTATCCCGGACACCCACTGGGACTCAAAGACTTCCCTGCAAACAAAAGGGAGCAGACAAGTCCTGAGAAAGAGACAGGCAGACATGAGATGAGCAGACACACAGGTTTGGAGGGAACCTTTGAGAAAAAGCCCACCTGCCAGAGATGGGAAGGATGGTTTTGTTTCCGAAAAGTTTAGTATCTTTTTAAATGTATTTCCTAAAGCCCTGGGCTGTCAAACCACCGAGCCACCAAGCACGTGGAGGAAGAGGAGGCCTGGCAATCGGCCTCTGTAAGGATGGAGACCCAGCCAGCCCTCTGGGCAGCTCTGCTCTGTCCCACACGGCAGGGTGGCTGAGTCCAGACTGACTCAGTGGCCCACAGCAGTGACATCTGTCGCCTGCAAGCTGACAGACGACGGAAATGCACCTATGCAAAGCAGAAAAGAAGCCAGCTATAAAGAGCAGATCAGACGGCAAGCCAGAAAGAGAAGGGTCGTTAGTCCTGAAGGGGGTACGTAGCTTCAGTTGAGGACGGCTTCCTGACATGGACTATCATCCTTCTGTTGACCCTGGGGCTTCATTGGCACCAATTTCTCCTGTTTAAGCCCAAGATGGAAAACACAATGGGTGTATCAGCTCCAACAGTTGCTCTCTCATGATACACTTTTGAAAAGGGCAAGAATTTGAGGCATTTCCCCTAATGTAGCTAGCTTTTCCAATTCACTGCCTCACGGGCTTAGATTAAATAAACAAGGGAAAGAATTCCACTGGGAATCCTGACTGGCTGAATATTAAGAACCAAAGGGGCTTTTGAGATTACATAGTTTGATGCTCTAGTCCCATGGCTGAAGGGACAAAGAGGCTGGGGAAGGGGGGCGGGGATAGGCAGGGCACCTCAAGGCTCCCAAAGGGCACCCCAAAGCTCTTTCCACTCTCTTACAACACCTTGGTTACCTACTTCTGGCTTTAACAATAGGAGTCCTGGTGACACAGTGCTCAGAGCACACAGCTGCTCACGGAAAGGTCAGTGCTTCCGATCACCAGCTGTCCCATGGGAGACAGATGTGGCAGTTGCTCCTACACAGACGTACGAACCCTGTGGGGCAGCTTTCTTTTGGGATCCACTCTTTCTTACAGGGTCGCTATAAGTCGGATTTGACTCGAGGGCCACTGGTCTGGTTGGTTTCCTTGATGAGAATAGTTTCTCCTCACAGACTAGGGACCTAAGAACAGGGACAGCTGGGCCACCTCACCTGATTAACAAATGGCAGGTGGGGACAGCAAGAGGAAGAGGGAGAGGGATAGGAGTCCTACCTTCTAGCCCGCTTCATGCTTTGTAGCACAGCAAGGTGAGCCAGCATTCCAAAAATCATCATCCTTACTACAGATGGGAGGGAGGCCATGGGTCTTTAACAGGGACCCAGCACGGCGTCCCTCTTTAGACAGGGAAGGACAGTCACCTCCTGTGGACTGAAGGCTGCCTTTGCCAGCTCTCCGGACAGCACGACCACATGCATCATTCGACAAGGCCAACACAGACGCGATGGCTCTCGGAAACAGGCGACTCACCCCCCTCACGCCTCTCTACTCTCGCTCTGTGCTCCCTCCCTCTCTCTCTTTTCTGTCCTTGTTTTCATGCCTTCTCTCTTGCTTTGTCTAAAAGATAAAGAGCTACTTTGGCTCATTATTATTATTTCCTTCTTGAAGTTTTTTTTCCGACCCCTTTCCAAGACTCACCTACCACGGTGCCCCCACCCACCTACAATGCAGCCTTTGGTCTGGTTTATGAGCACATTTCCAAATCAGACGCTCTTTGCACACATCAACTCTCTGGGAGGGACCTGGCACGAGGGAGGACACCCTCAAATTACCATGGTTAGAGGGAGAGATCTTTCCTTCCTCTGAGGTGTTAGGTGACACGGTCTCATATTTCTTGGTGCAGGGTCTCTTTCATCACCGTTTTAGCACTCCAGACTCCTTTGAGTCAAGATTTTAAATACGACATCGACTCAGGAATCCAAGACATACAGATGAAGCAGCTCAGAGCATGCCTGCGGCAGCTTGGACAAAAAGCTAGCTGATTTTAGGGTCATGGTTTCTGGGGCAGGGACCTACCGACTCAGACGCCGCAGACATGCTCACTTGGTGTCCAGGACGAGTGGGCTCAAACCAGGTCCCCCATCCACTCGCACACACTCCCACCCCAGATCATTGTTAGTGCCCAAGGAATGGGCTGCCGGGCTCCAGGGTGGACCTTCAAAGGTGTCTTGGGAGTCAAAGAGGAATAAACCACAGATGCATCCTGGTCTAAAAGCATCTCCATCATCTTCTCTTTATCAAAGAGGAAAAGGGCTTTGTTCAAAAGGAGCTGCTTGGGAATACAATGCCCCGCCCCCCAAGCCCTAATCCCTGTATTTGCAAATATATTCCTGTTTGGAAACAGGTGTTCCTTTGCTATGTTA